TTATGGACTCGTGTATTGAACAGGGTGCTCATGTGGCAAATGAAAAGCAGTTGGTCCTCCATGTCGAAATCATCAAAAATCTTAACCATGGGGTAAGCCCAACGTGTGTGGCACCGTTCATTGCAAAAAATCGGGTTTTGGAGGAGATTTTAGTGATCCTTAGTGGGGTACTCCTTCAAGGTGAAGCTAAGTTGTCTCCAGTAAAAGTAAAACTTCCACCCGTTGAACGGTTTGCCTACTCGAGTATGTGTTTTTAAGGGCACGGATAGAGCTTCCGACCCCCCTTAATTTCATTGACCCTCCACACGAGTTGAGGAAAAGGAGTTAAAAGAAGTACCCTGGCGAGCGCCAGGTGTACAAAAATTGCTCTTGCTCGACTAATAAGGGTCGACCGTGCAAAAGACTGCAGTTGGAACCCCCACCAAGTGAATGAAGAAAAAAAAAGAGAAAAAGAAATGTAAATGAAAGTGCAAAAAGGGGTTCCAACGGTGAAATGAAGTGAAAGAGCACCCCGGTACAACGAGTCCTTGGTTGTGAATGGTGTGAGTCCCTTTATCCATGAACTGGTTGTCTTACTTCCACTTCTTCTCATGATCCTGGCTTGAGTCTAGTACTCGCATTGAGATAGGGAACGTCTTAGAAGACCAGTTGACCTCGTAAGCTGCTATATGATCTCGAAAATCCTCTACAACGAGTCCTTGTTTGTTGCTATAGAGGTCTGGAGAGCTGCATTGGTTTGAGATAGGTTTACTTGGGGACAAGCAAACGGTTAAGTGTGGGGGGATTTGATGACTCGATATTTGCACATGTTTCCCCTTTGTTTCTTGATTGTTTAAGCTTGCATTATCGCTTCTTTGGCCTATTTTATGCTAGGTTGTGTTCCTTTGTCACATTTCAGGTCCTAACATGTAAATTGAAGCATAGGCGCAAGTTTGAAGTCAATCGGAGATCATTCGGCAATTTGGGAGAAGAAACACGAGCATGACCTGAGGAATAATGGACTTATACCTCATATTATGGACAAATAATCATGGAATTTTGTCATGGAAAGAAAGAGGACGAGACTACGAGCGTCTGGGATCAAACGGCGACTGATTCGGAGTCCGAACGAGGGAGAAACGAAGCATTAAACAAAGGCTGAGCAAGCCACACGGGCACGCCTAAAAACCCACATGGCCGTGTGACCTGGCCATGTGGTCGTGTGGAAATCACTGAGCCCTCACACGGGCATCTGGGAAAGTCACACGGCCGTGTGGCCTGGCCGTGTGATCGGGAATTTCTGGTTAAAACCCGATTTTCAGCAAAAGGAAAGGGGAGAGCGGGATTTTGGTTCCAAAACACCCAAGGGACGAACCCTAGAGAGAGAGAGCAACTTGGGAACATTCTTGGAGCTATTTTGGAGGATTTCTTTGCCATTGGAGCTCGGGAATCAAGCTTGGAGATGGAGATTGAAGATCTAGATCAGATTTCTGCAGTCTCTCTCTTCTCTATGGAGTAACTTCCCTTCACTTAGGTTTTGAGGAACCCTAGTTCCATGTGTTAGGATCTTTCTTGTATGAAGTTTTGGATGCTATATTGTTTGATTATAATCGATTGAGGCATGATTTATAGAGTCAATTAAAGCCTGATCATCTTCTCTTGATTTCTGCTTTAACCTATGATAGATAGAATCTGATTAGGTTAAGAGAGATTCCTTGATTGAGTGGTGAATTGGTTGTGTGAGAGTTAATCAATTCACTGTTTTGTACTGGAATTCATTCCAGTAGTGGAGATCTGTGTGAATCGCCTTAGCAGTCTATCCCGGTGAAGGCTAGTCGCCTGCCAGGTATTCTGTCTAAGAGGGCTTGGTCAGCTTAAAAGATTCCAAGCTAATTTAGGATCTTCCGCAGTTTAACAACAGTAGATCAACCAAAAGTAATTGCAACTTGGACCTAATTGAGGATCTAGGGGGAATCATACCTAAGTGAGTTCCCAACTTGTAATTAGTAGAGTAGTCAGTAGAGTAGTTTATAAATCAATCCTTAATCTAGTTTGCTAGATAATGAACTGAAGCTGAGTAATAGTAACTCTAGAGACCCGTGGATTCGATATTTATTACTTGTGCCACTATACTGCAGTCCCTTTCATTGGTTACACTTGGCCATTGTTAGGTGTTGTGTTTTAGCTTTCAATCACAAAATATCTTTAATCCTTCGTGTAGACAAATTTGATAAGGACACCCACCTCATGTTAAATATGAATTCACATTCTAGTCGGCATTAGTATTAGTCTCTGTTTTCATAACCGGATTGGAGGATGAGCCGAAAAAGTTAGTGGTTTAGGGGGAATGCGTTAGCGTGATTACTCAAAATTGAGTAATCACGGTGGCTATTAAAATCTAAACCATTCATATCTCTATTTCACCCTAATTTTACATTAATGGTGAATATAATAATAAGGTTAATTTTGAGAATACATAAAAATACCTCACCTGATTTCTATCTTTTAAAAATTAATTTCTATATATTATACATAATGATATTTGTTTGTTTTGGTATTGGTCTAACTAGTGTAATGGTATATATTTTTTTATATTGGTAGTTTTAGTGTAATAATATTGTTTTTCATAATGATATTGATTTATTTCTGCAATGGTATTGATATTTTTTGAAATGGTATTGGTTGTCTAATGAATCGGTATTGATTTATTGTTTTATTTTTTGCAGTGGTATTTATTCGGCTGAACGGAGACTAGAAAAGGAATGAGACAAAGAAGGAAACAAAATATGGCTAGAGATTGCGGTAGTGAAAAGAAGGAGAGAGAAAATCGTAATTAATATATTTTTATAACTTCCTAAAATGTAATTTATTAAAAAAATAATTAATAAAAAAAATTCATACCCAATTTGCCCTTAGTAATCACCATAACCGCTCCATGGTTTAGGATTTTATGGTTAACTGTTACAATATTGGTGGTTAACTGTTGATAGAACCGTTCATGATATATGACATATATTATTGTAATTTAAGAATGAAGTTATAATTGACCATAAACAATTTCAAATTCATATTATCACCAAAATATCTAATAAATCATTCAAACAGTCTCACAAAAGAAATCATAATTTTTTTAGTTCAAGTTAAAACTATGATGCCAGTTCGTAGTGGACCGTGTAAAGTCAATAACAAGGTTGGAAAATGAGAAGAGGAAGCAGAAATAAAATTAATAATTATGGTTTGATGGTCTTAGTTTACCTCAAACCATTTTTTACAAAACATTGTGGTTAAAATAGTGAACATGTGGACTAGTTAAACCGTGGTGGTTCATCTGGTTCTATGTTGAACCATGAAAAACTGTTTGGTCCATCAATAACCGTCCATGCAATGAACCAGACCGTTATTGTAAATGATGTGGTGGTTCTACTGACCCAACCATTAATTTGGTTCAGCTCTTATAATCTTGGATTCAGTTAATCATAGCCCGTAACTTACTCGTACCACAACGACTTAGGAGTAGGGCTGGGAAAATAGACCAAACCTTTTGAAAAATCATGAACCAAACCGAACCACACAGTTTGGTTCAGACCGTAAACCGTTAAAAATGATTTGGTTTGGTCCATGGTTTGTATTATATTATGTTTTGATCTCCTAGTCTGGTCTGGTTTAGACAGCGGTTTACCGGACCAAACCGTGGACCCAATCAACTTCCCAATATGTGTTAGCAGCCCACTCGACCACTCTCCTGATTCCCCCAGAGACACTCACGTCTCAACCCTAATTTTGAGAAACTCGTCCCCTCTTTCATTCACAACTACATTTCACCAGAGAGTAGAGGCAATCGTGTCCCTATATGACATTATGTTAATGTTTTTGACGTTATGGTGCAAGTTAGGACGTTTTGACTTTGTATTTTTGTTGTTTTCTTATATTTAGGGTGTCAAAATTCTTCATTCATGTTGGAATTTATGTTTTAAGACAAAAAAAATTCGCGTTTATTGATTCAAATTTATGTGTGGTTGACTACATAAATTATTCATTTTTCGTTCATTCTGATCTATCTAGATCAAACCGTACCAGACCAGACCGTACAAACGTGATCGGGTATGAATTATATAGTACATGATCTGATCTCAAATCTATATTTCAGCCTATTGATCTGGACTATAAACCACATATAGACCGTTTGCCAACCCTACTCGGAGCCTTAATGAGTGCTGAATAGGGATGGCAATCAAACCCATGGCCGCGGGTATTCGACCGCCCCCGACCCAGTCAACGCGGGGAATCCCCTCTTTGACCAGGTATGGGGCGGGTATGGGTAAAACCCGCAAAAAGTTTGATGGGTATGGGGCGGGTATGGTTTTAGCCTCCCCCGCCTCATACCCATCCCCATACCCGCCCCACCACGATAAATGTCTTCATATATAAAAAAAAAATATGTGCGTCAAATAATTATCTATCAATGATGATGAAGATAACTTGAGAAAATAAATAGTAGAAATACAATTGAGTGACCACCTTAATCAAAACCTAATTCATTTCTCTCAATTCTCATTTCACTCTTTCATTTCCCCCTTGTCAACAAGATTATGTTAGTTAAATATTATTTAGTAGATGTATCAGAGTTAGAACATAATAATTTCAAAAATATAATACTCTATATTATGTATTAATGAATATTTTAGGATCATATTCTTTGAACCATATTAAAAAAATGACCGTGTTTTGTTGACTTCATGATATAATATGTTCGTTTAGAATTATAATTAAAACTTTTCTTGTGAGTTTTAGGTATAATAATGTTGGATGTACGGGTATGGGTATTACCCATGGGTACCCGAAACCCACGGGTATGAAGATGGGTTTGCATAACATTCCCCTGCATTGGTATGAGACGGGTATGGGTTTTGGTATTTGAAAATGGGTTTGAGGATGATTTAGATAAACCCGCCCCAAACCCGCACTATTGCCATCCCTATTGCTGAACCAATATATAATCCGGTGAAACCGCCACTAAGCGGCATGAAGCCAACTATGAAGTATGAACTCACTAGCCGTCCCGACCACCAACCCCCAAAGCCCGCTGTATTTGCTTTTCCCTTTCCACCCCTTTCGCGAAGATAGACGTGGAGTGAAACGGTGCGTCCAAGTCGTCGTCTACTGAACCATACACTACACGTTAAAACTACCCCCAACGGCCCAATTCAGAAAATACAGACAAACGATAGACGGCCCAGATCACTGTTCAAATTGCCGGTGGGAAAAGAAAATGGCGGAAAGTGCTGCTTCGGCGACGCCACCGACGGGAGGAGGAGGAAGAGGCGGACTGGACAATGACAAGTCCAGCAGCATCAGCGTGTCGGCGATGCAGTTCTCGTACGACTCCAACCAGACGCCTCTTTTCTTCGAGTTCAATCTCGACATTGCTCCCGGATCTCGCTGTTTACTCACCGGCGCCAATGGATCAGGTCAGGAAAATTTCCTTTCTCCTATTGATACCTAATTCTATTTTTGAATGGAGAATCGAATTCGAAGAGAGAATTGAGAGTGGCTGTCGGTTCTGTACAGGGAAGTCGACTTTACTGCGGATTCTGGCGGGGAAGCATATGGTAGGAGGGAAAGACGTCGTGAGAGTGCTGAACAGCTCGGCTTTTCATGACACTCAGCTCGTTTGCAGCGGCGATTTGGCCTATTTGGGAGGTTCCTGGAGTAAAAATGCGGGATCGGCGGTGAGTTGCTGCTCAATTTTGCTCGTTTCTTTGTCATTCTACTCTGCCGTACATTAACATAGATCTAGGGATTTCCACTTGCTTTCCAATTGGAACGAGGAATTGAGCATTTCTGTTCTCAAACATTCAAGCACAGCTACATTTGAGTCTATGTAACTTACTACGTTGAATTTGATCATCGTCCTTGCAAATTCCAGGGAGAAATACCACTGCAGGGAGATTTCTCTGCGGAGCATATGATATTTGGAGGTAGTGGATCGAGCAATTAGCATAGTTACACTTAAGAATATTAAGTGTACAATACAGGCACTGGGATCTGCATTCTGAGGTCTCTGTTTATCTCTTCCCAATTGTTTATTTTGGTGTCAGTTGAGGGTGTTGATCCAGACAGGAGAGAAAAGCTGATTGAGCTTCTTGATATTGATCTCCGATGGCGTATGCACAAGGTATCTGATGGGCAGCGGCGCCGGGTTCAGATTTGTATGGGGCTTCTATACCCGTATAAGGTAAATTTTCAGTCTTGGAATGATATTGAGGGAGAACAAAAAACTAACGAACAGTTTTTCGCCCTTTTTGGTAGTAATAACAATTACATTTTGGGTGTGTGTATGACTGTCCAAATCCCTTCTGCTTGTTGATAGATTGTCTTGACTTCTCATGTATGAAATCTAAAGCAGTTTGGGTACATGCATCTTCAATCCATGAGGCTTTGCTTACTTGTGACCATTTGAACATTTTTAGATAGCAACTCTGTTGTTGAGCCAAGCGTCTCGCAATTTATCATCTCTTTCACCAAATAAACAGATGAATTTCTCATTGCAGGTTTTGTTATTGGATGAGGTGACAGTTGATTTGGATGTGGTTGCTCGGATGGATTTGCTGGAGTTTTTTAGGGAGGAAACTGAGCAGGTATGGGTTCTTTCATATAGGAGCCAACTTGATTTCCATGATTGTATTCCTTTTAAGAGATTAATATCTATAGCATGATGTTCTAGTATGCACAATGGCGAAGTATTGCCCACGTTCCGGGAGAAAAATAGAATCGATATCCCAAGTTTCTGCTGCACCCACCATAATTCATTTTCTGTCTTTACCATTAGCTTCGGATCAAGCATACTTTTTCTGTCTCTCTTATGCTGATTTTGTTAAGTTGATGGCAGAGAGGAGCTACATTAATATATGCAACTCACATCTTCGACGGTTTAGAGGCATGGGCGACACACCTTGCTTACATTCAAGAAGGCGAGCTTAAGAGGTACGCTAAGCTAGTGGAGATGAATGAGCTCAGTACATCTGTGAACCTGCTCACAGTAGTTGAGAACTGGCTACGTTCCGAGACTAAGCAGGAGAAGAGGAAGAAGAAGGAAGTCATAAAACCCTCTACTGCCCAAACCCAGAAGGCTTCCTCCCCTTCTCCTTTCATGTCATCTAGTAGACACATGGCCTACTATCGCTGATTTTGATGCCAGGGTTAAGAATTTGAAGGGGAAGTGTTGGACCGCTGTAAAAAGGGATCGTATATCTATTCTTTTGGCCAATTATAGGCTCCCACTGCATAAGCCTGAGATATGTAATGCAATGGAAGGATTCCTCTTTTTAATTTTTCCTTTTTTTTTCCCTTCTTATTACAATTTACAAGAAGACACTGTGAGATGGGGGATAGGAAGTTGAACCAACGATCTACAGTTGTTCGAGCTTCTGATTAGTTGTGAAATTTCAAATGTGTTTTTCAATAAAATGACTTACAAGTTACAATACCAACTGCATGATGTGAATTGTGAAGTGTTTCGACGGTTACATAAAGCTCAAAGGAGTTGAATAGCAAATGGAGACAGCAAAAAGCTCGACCGATGATTATGTTACCTAGAAACAACAATAAAGTACTTAGATTAACTAAGCCTAATCTTCAATTTTCCTCTATCAAGGGGCTTATGGTTCAATTGGTTCAAACGTAACATTTGTGGCGGTAATATTGTAGGTTTGAGCCCTACAAAGACCGCCACCCCCTTCCCTTCACCTAATACAAGGCAATTGAAGTCTTCTAATCTTGTGGATCAATGGCACATTACACATCCAATAAGCAATCAATCTCCAAATATAACTTATTTCACTATACTATCCATCGTATGCTAGATTTTTTTTTTTTTAATGAGGAGGCAAAAGCCACATTACAGAGGCACTGCTGCTAGCAAAGACTCACAGCACTAAAAGCAAAACAGAAACCAAAACTTCTAGGGGAAGGGCCACCCCAACAACTTAAACAACACTCAGATCACCTCGAGGAACTTGCCTAGGAAAACTAACTCCTACAATATCTTCATGAAGGAGTTGATTCAAATCCCGTGGGGGATCTTCTAATTCATGCGTTCCAAAAGGATAGACGAGACTGTCCTTCGAAATCCAGAATGCTAGATAGAAAGTGTATCCATAAAAAAGGATTAAATTGAATGTCAAAAGAATGAGAAGGTTATAATTGTCTCGTCTCTCCTTTTATTCTTAGACTGTGAAAGCATGATTAAAATTGATTTGCGATCACTAACCTAGTTTAGATTCCCACATTAAGATTAAGTGATTTACCAAGAGTGGTCCTAGATGGCCCACATAAACTAGTTTGCTTCGGAACCTACTGAGCTCATGATATTTTTGTGCACACTCATCTTTCTTGAATTGCTTCTTGGTTTAGTATCTTTTCAAGATGATATTTATGAAAGAATCGCATTAATAACTTGTAAAGCATTCACTATTACTATTAAAAGGTAATATCGGACTAATATGTGTACAATGTACTATACTAGTCCACACATCTCTAAATAACAATCCATGCAAACTTAGTAAGGCACCGATGTCAATTTTGGGTCAAACTCTTCTTTGTAAGTAACTTTATACTTTACTTTAAGGATAGGAAGTTAGAGAAGAAAGAATTCACTCACACTTACTCGCTATTGTTAGTGATGATGGTAATTTCAACTCGCCACGCGGGTATTACCCGACCTGACCCACGATGGGGCGGGTATTACCCGACCCGCAGTAGCGTGGGGCGGGGCATGGGTATCTACTTCCGACCCGCCCTGCCCCGCCCTGTTCTAGACTCATTTTATCTCAATTTTTTACAATATCTATACATATTTCTCCTATTTTGACTTTTCTTCAACTAGTTAGAGTCGATCTTTCAACTTGTTAGGCTCAATTATCCATTCTATTATCAATATTTTTCATTCTTAAAGTGTTTTCCCCTACGTTTTATTGTAAAAAGTAAAATTTATTTGTATTTGTTTTGAACAACATGTAAGAGTGGGTCGACCCGCCCTGCCCCGTACCCGCGCGGGTTTTACCCGCCCCGACCCGTAGTAGCGTGGGGCGTGGCATGGGAATTGAGGTACCCGCCCCGCCCCATTGCCATCACTAGCTTTTGTCTTATTTATGCCAAACGAAAAGGAAACTTCCATTTAAATGAACACCGGAAGTCATATCAGACCAGTTTGTGGTAGGGTGTTTTGTCGAGCGATTGTGGTTCAACCGTTGTGTACCGATACAATATTGTTTTTGTAATTAAATTTTATTTTGTTAAAAAATCGTATCGACAGATTCAGGATACCGTCTTGGAGTAATACCAGAATAAAACCGGAATATACCGGATAACAAACCTGAATAAACTAAATAGGCATAGGTAATATAACAATCAACAAAGTGCAACATTACTGAATAAACTACATAATGGTTCAAATGCATGTTTAGGATCGAGTACAAAGTACCAAACAACATTCTCAAACTACATAATCGTTCAAAGTACAAAACAACCAAACAACATTCTCAAACCACAAGTTCACAAGTACCAAACTCAAACTAGCAAGTACTACAACGTTCACAAACAACGTTTCATATATTGAAACAACACCAAATGTAGAGAAGTCTACATTCTCCAACTCGTCCCCTTCATCTTCTTCATCACCAACTACAATACAAGAGAAAACAAGTAAGAATTATTATCAATTATTAGTATTAGAATTCATATCATACATAATTGGTTTACAAACAAACCTTCCTCATCTAATGCTCGATCCAGCTCATTAATATCGAATTCCTTGTCCCTAGAAGATGAATCTTCTTCCTCTAGTGACAACCAGTGACTAGTAACAGTAGAATCAATGCTTTCAAGGATTATGGGATCAAATTATTCTTTGTTATTCTTGGTATAATACTCTCTAATCAAAGTAGAAAACATAAAATAATTCAATTCAATAGTAAGCATAAAAAGTATGAATTCAACATACAAGTTCTATAATTCAAATCATTACCTATTATGCAATCGTAAGTTGTAATTCACAAACACCAAGTTACTAAGCACTTTATGCTGCAATTTGTTTCTTCTTTTGTTGCGCACACGTTCATAGACACTCCAATTACGTTCACAACAAGAAGAAGCATCAGTTTTGCTAAGAATTCGAATAGCCAACTTCTGAAGACTTGGAGCATCAATGCCAAACCATTTACACCACTTATCTACATATAAAAGATACATGTTAGTTTCTCAAATACTGTAATAAATAGAAGAACCTCAATGCAAGTGATATCAATTACCTAGTTGTTGTTTCTGTGCAGCATCTATTGCCATCTTCCTCCCAAAGTTTCCTAAACGTTCAGCATACATATTCATCTCTGCCACCACCACACTATTATCAGGACATAAAGACGAGTTCTCAAGAAGATTAAGAAGTCCAAATGTAACCACCCTATCATCTGTCCAATTATCATAATACTTCATAGCCGGATTAAGATAGTGAGCTACCATAAACAAATCACGGCTCAAGTGCTTATCTCATCTCCTATTAATGATATCCATGTATGGCTTGTACTTCTCTGCCTTATCTCCACAAACAGTCATAATAACATTTGACACCTCAAAGCATAATATGTAGTACTTCCATAAGCAGGACCAAGAGTCATAGAAGCATCCAATGCTATTTTAAATTGTGGAGATTTAATTGCTTCTAAAGGAGCACATGCATCATAGAACCATCTAGCTATTCCCGGTTGACTACCGGAAGATGACCGTGGAGTAAAGAAAGTGTCAACCGAACCCGTAGACACATTATGAGCAAATCTTCTAGCACTATTACCAACATCTTGTGCACTAGAAGAACTTGTATCACGAGGTTCTTTAAATCCAGCTTTGATAACTTCATATTTCTTCTTATTAGCTTCACAATCAGTCAAAAGCTTTTGCATGTTGTGGCTCACCTCAGGAGGAACCATTGGGCATATTGCATTATCCCCACTAATCCCAGCTAGATGGTTTTTTCATTCTAGTGATTCCTCCACCTCAAATTCTTTTTGACAATAGAGACAAGTGAGTACCTCAACTTTTCCATCCTGATGAAGGGAACAATGAGTCCAAGTTGGATCACTTTTGCTTCGTAAACTCTTTGTGACAAACTTTCAATGACTAGGGGCTGCTCCTTGATCAACCAATCGGGCTTCTTCTCCACTGGACATTGCTGCCAAAACATCTAAAATTCTAATATGAATAGAGGGCATAAATTGTTATACAATATCATCTCCAAATACTATCTATTTTCCACCAAACATTGTAAAAAAAAAAACTCAGCAGTATACTTAAAATAAGTCAAAAGCATGAAACATCCAAAAACTCGGTAGTATCTATTTTCTCCTTACCTATGTCTCATGTTCTTGAGCAGGGCCGACACATTCTTGAGCAGCGGGGGAGGGAGACTCGAGCAGGCGGCGCGGATGAGGAGGAGAAAAAGGAGCGGTAGAGTGGAGCAGAGCAGGGATCAATGTCAATCGACAGTCACCAATCGCCAATCGCCTATTGCCAGACAAGAAGAGAAGAGGAATGGCGGAGCGGCGGTCGTGGGTTGCCTCTTTGATTTCGCTGGTCGTGGGTCGCAACTCGCCAATTGCGAGAGGAGAAGAGGAGGAGCGGCGGGCGGGGTTGAAAAAAAAAAAAAGAAACGATGAAAGGAAATTGCTCCCGATTTTCGTTAGAGATTAGGGTTTTTGCGTTTTTGGCCTTTGGCCGTTTTTTTTTAAATGTAAGTGCCAAAACGATGACGTTTTTCCTTCCAATAAGCCTACCGCCGGTTAGACCAAAGCCGTGTAGCATTTCCTTTTATACCGGTTAAGCTGGAAAACCGGCCGACACGATATTCTAATGCCAAGCAGCCTGCCATATCATTCTTGGTCCGGTTTCCGGTTTTTTTGGTTGAACTCGCCGGTACGATCCGGTTTCCTGGTCCATGAGGCAACCTAGATGATCGACAAGTGCTTACTTAAGGAAAGTATTCTAGTGCTATAGTCAGTAAGGTTCTACATAATTTAATTGGGTTAATGCCACATTTGATCACTAGGATTACTAAATAGTGTCATGTTTAGTCAGCAGAAAAAATTAATATCAATTCCGGTCAATCAAATTACTGAAGCAAGTCACATTTAGTCACTCAAATTACTGAAACAAGTCACATTTAGTCACTCTCCGTTAGTCAAAGGTGGCAATTACATCTCGGTCGGGACAGGGGAATGTCTGGATCCTTTTCTCCCTTTTTCGTTTGTGTAGAAACTTTCCCGAAAAAGCATATTTGAGCAAACTCAATTGCTCAGCTACATCTCTGCTCTTGGGCGCCAGCTACTATAGCACCCAACTACTCCTTGAAACCCTAATTTTTGGATGGTGGCTGTAGAGCTAGAGCGCAGCCGCGTAGAACCCTTCTTTGTCCGACTTGTTGGTTCCTCTAACACCTCGCAGATTGCGATCAACTTGAGCTTAGTGAGAGGATCGTGCGCCTAGGCCAGATTGAGACGACCGACTAATTTATCGATAAGAGTGCAGGGGATGATCTGGAAGAAGAAGTCGAGGTAGGGGTTGCTGGTGGTGAGGAAGGTGGCGTAGCATTGCCCGTTAGGCCCATGGGTGGCTCACCGGTCAGTCCTAACGCCTCGGCCTTGACGACAAGGGGTTCGAAAAAATTTTCAGAAGAAGGAACTTGAATAGTGGTTTGGGGCTAATCATCGGAGATCATCGTTCTGTAGATTGATGGAGGGTCGAGAATTTTCATCGACGTCGTCATGATGGATGCAGATGGCGGTGGTGGGTCAAGACGACGGTGGTAGGTCCTTCGCGATGAAGAAGAAAGGGTTTCGTGTCTTCAATTTTATTTTGTTAAGTAGGCTTGGGTTGGGTTCTGGGTCAGGTTGGGTTCATGAGTTGGGTGTATGACATGGTGGGTTTAGTGGCATGGCGGGTCGGGTTTGACCATGTTTGACCCAAAATGGCGATGACTAGGCGCTCTCGTTAGCCATGTCAGCACATAGCGGACTCCATTAACGGAGTTGGACGGAGACCAACTAAATGTGACCTGTTTCACTAATTTGAATGACCAAAATTGATATTAATTTTTCTAGTGACTAAACATGACCCTTTTAACAATTCCAGTGACCAAATGTGGCATTAACCCGAATTTCATCTAACCTATTTCTACAGTCGAGTATATTCTAGCCTCTCCTTTCGCCCTTTTTCTGAGCTACTTTTTTCGAGTATATTGCATAACCTCTCCTTTTTATTAATTCATTAATATCAGGTTACCTAGAAAGTTTCAGGCAGATGAAATTTGTTATTGTTATTTAATTTATTGTGCCATATTCCATGCCCTTTCACTCCCCTTAAAACTTTCCTTTCTTCCTTATTAAAACTTTCCTTTCTTCCTTATCACTTGAATCTTACATATATATGATAAACTTTCGGTTGAACACATTCTAAACCTTGAAGTAAAGGACTGATTGAGTAGATCATGTCGAGATCTTCACCATGAATGCCCCTCCAGGTAAAGCATCTCATAGCACACCATTGATAGATAAGATAGGAGAATTAGAATATACTGAGATAACCTCATTCCTATATTGTGAAATGAAATTTATTCAATCAATTCTCTCATACGCTCTCACTACCCTTGGCTTCAACTTTTATATTCCTTATCGCCCAAGTCATTGAATTTTCCTCTTCCACTCCTCCATTTAACAAAGAATTTAGTGATTGTTCGCTGCTAAACGAAGCTATTGGAACATAGTCATAGTAGAGCTCCTCTACGTGCTTTGACAAATCCCTCTCAGACATTATATACCGGGTAATGATCTTTATAAAGAACGTCAAATATAACCTCTTTCAACTAACTACTAAGTCATTCAAGCCTTCACCTAAGCTCTCATAAGTAGAGACCCTGTATCTTTTTATAATAGTATACATATACAAGTCTTGTAGTCAATTTTTCTAGCAAGATGTGTTAGTTACCTACTCTCCCCTAACCTACCCCTTTGACTGGTGATTAATATGGTAAAAGTAATATATTTTTACCCACACAATTCATATATTTGGGCAAGTTGTATTCTAATGAAAGTTGATCAAACCTACTAAATGAAGATACTCTCAAGTCTAGTCAATGTCTAAAATGAGGTGCGAACTCAAATAATCATTGGACCTAGTGGTTTGAGTAACTAGCTTTCTAAGGTTAGCAAAGTTCTTATTATGGCGAAGTGAAAGATCTTTCACTATAATGGGAAGAAGACAGGTGGGAACGATCAAAACGAGAGCATGCCTTCCTTAATCGTGATGAAGTCTATATGACACCTCCCCTAACTTACCTACCTCCTATATATATACCCATGTTTGCAAATTTTGAAAATTATTGTACGGTGACAACACATGAAAAGTACTATTTCAAAACCCCATATTATGACTAGGGCTGCAAACGAGCCAAGTCGAGTCGAGTTTTTGCTTAGATTGAGCTTCACTCCTTTATAAATTTTAGACTCTTGATAGTTTGACTTTGCATTTCATCGTTCCTCGACATATTTCACGCTAGTTTGTGCTCGTTTTGATACATTTCAGGTCCTAGCACGTGTGGAAGGGTCAAGGTCGAATTTTGGGATAATTGAGGTCAAAAAGCACAAAAACCGAAGAAAAGTCCAAAGTGACAATTGCCCCGTAACAGTGAAGTGCAGGCGTCCAGGTTTCAGGCCATGTTCACGGTTTCCCATTGGAGTTCACGGTCTCCTAAGGTCGTGAACTGAAGCCATAAACCATGAACCGCTAGGCATCCAGAGAGAAATCTGCAGTTACTACCACTATACGAGTTCACGGTTAACAAGACCGTGAAGATTGAGGCCAAATTGTGAACTCCTGATAGCGAAGTGGTGCCTTTCGACATCATGCTCTGTTTTCATGGACGCGTTGAAGAGTTCACGATCGTGAACTGAGGCCGTGAACTAAGCCCGATCCTGGTATAAAATGTCATCGGAAAAGAAGAAAAAGGGAGCTTCACTTTAGGTTATATTAACATTTTTTAGAATAAAGAGGATTCTAGTGAGAGGTTAGGGTTTCTTCTAGAGTGAGAAAGTGAAAATCAAAGGAGGAAGAAGGAGCTTTGGGCTTGTTCCTAGCTAGAGGATTGAAGATTTCTTCATCTCAAGGGTGTCTCAAGCAACAGATTGACATCACTTCATGGTTATTTCTCTCCTTTTTGTTGTTTTCTCTTGTTTAGCTATGGAATAGCCTACCTACTCACTTGGGTATAGTGAATCCTAGTCTCTCTATGTGTTAGGATGTAAGAACATGAACCTTTTGTGTTGATTGAGTGTTTATATAATATTTAGGTATTATTCTTGAATGATTGAGTGTGCTAGCTTTAACTCAATATTGGGTGAAATTAACCTAGATGGTGGAAATCCCCTCTTGGTCCAATTAGGAGCTAGACTCCTTAGCCACTTGGGTAACCTCCTTTAGGTCAATTTAAGACCAAAATCTCAAATATCGGAGTAGGGTCGTGATTCCACTGGGATAGCTCTCTCCACCGACCAGATTAAGTTCCGAGGGTTTGGTTTGCCATCCTTAGCTAGCTAGTTGAGAGGGTTAGGTTTCCTAGCCCATCGTTGTCACTCTTAGCCGAAAGGTTAAGTGAGTTAGCTTTCTAACTTGTTGCAACGATTCTCAATTAGCTAACTAAGAGAGAGTTAGGGATCTCCTTGGTTGATCGATAAAGAGGGCTAGAATCTCTAGCTATGAATCACAATCCTTGACCTAACGGTTAAGAGAGCTAGTTCCACTAGCTTACGTTTGTTGATTTTCCTTTCGGCTAGCTAATATCCTAGCTAGTTGCGCCCACCTAGCGGTGGATCAACACGTCCTTAACACTAGAGCTTTGTTTGTCGCTTCTTAGCATAAGACTAGGGGGAGCAATACCCGGGTGAAGCTCTCTCAAGTAGAATTCTTTTCCATTTACTTTCCTTGCTTGTTTTCATTTGTAGTTTTTATAATTTTAAACTCTAAACCGTTTTGCTAGATAACAACTTAAGCGATTGAAGTAGGGGTACATGGACCGGCCCTGGTTGACACTTTAAATACTTGCTCTATACTGCATCCGGCTAGAGTTAAAAAAAACTTGGGCTCTAGTCGGGATTAATTCGCTGTGTAGTTTCGTGCGAGTCAAGTTTTTACCACCGTTGGGGGTATGAAGAGGCTTCCCCATATCAAGAAGATTTCCCTCCACAACCCGAGGAGAAATCCAAGTTGAAGTTGGCCATTGATGCTTTCATGGGACAAACCTCAAGACCATGTGCCACTCCACAACCGGAGCCAAAGAGAAAATTAGAGCTCATGGTGGAGCGATTTGTTTGGGGCACCAATGAAGGGTGCTCTAGCTTGGACTTTCCCATCGTCGGCCTTATCGACTCAACCTTTCTTCGGGAGGCGGAGGAGCTCCATCGACGCACGGAGAGGCAAGGAGTGCTTGTTGAGCTAGCATGTGCACAACTTGATCACCATCGCCTTCTACCATCGGAAGAAAGAGAGGAAGTCGAAGAGGCGAGCCATGAGAAATTTGGAAGAACGAGCTCCGACATGGATTTCCAACCCCTCTCTCCTCCCGGTTTTACGCTAGAATAGAAAGGGGCACGAGCTTGTGAAAGCTATCACCTCTCATTATTGGAGGAGAATGAGGAGGTTGAAGGAGCGATCAATGACAACCGTGTGGAGCAAGAAGAGCTCACCCTGGAGAGCTACCGTGGTGAGGATGAACAGGAAGGTTGCATTGATGACTCCCATCACTTTCCCTTTCCCGAAAGCAACTTTGAAGACCAAGAAACGAGTGTGGAGGAGCAAGAGAATCCTGTATATGACCTTGCATGGCATATTTCCCTCAAATTCGTGCTTGAAGACGGGAATGGGAAGGAGAAAGAAGAGGTTGAAGAGGAGGAAGCGAGCTTTAAAGTGGAGGAAGATCTTGAGTGTTCCCAAGGGGAGGAAATTGATTAAGAAGGAAGCGAGGTTGAGGAAGAAGTAGAAGGAGCAAGAGGCATCCAAGAGGACGAGGTTGAGGTGGATTAAGCATCCATAAGTTACGAGATTTATGAAAGCTTTCCACCTAACCTCGATGCGCTTTTGGAGAAGGACCCATTTGCGGCTCTTTGCCAAGCCAAGGCCAAACCATCGACGATCCCTCTTGGTGGAAGCGATGGTGGTAAATCGATGATGCATTACATGGTGTGGGGCAAAGAGAAGATGGGAGAAGGAAAGAAGGAGAGGTCTCGTGGTTGGAGCCTCAAAGCCACTCAAGTTCATGAGCCCTCAATCTTGGACTCGTCCAATGCTCGTGACATGAGATATCACCTCACCAACGAGAACCTCAACTTCAAGGAGGTTCTTGGGTGGACTGATACTTGAAGAGCAACCGTCCGGCTCATGACGTTAAAGAAGCGCTTGGTGGGAGGCAACCCAACCATCAACGGTTTGTATCTCTTTTCCTTTCAATAAAGACGACCATTGGAGATATTTTGGTGGTGTTTTTCTGTCTCCTTGCTCTTCCGGATCTCGCCCGACCTCCGATCCCGACCACCAACATTCACACCGTATCCGATAACATCGTTCTACCTCATTCTTTTACGCCATTGAGGGCAATGTCGAGCTTAAGTGTGTGTGTGTGTGTGTGTGTGTGTGTGTGTGTTGGGGGGGGGGGGGGGGGGGGTAGTCCATTATGCATGTGTGTATCAATGTTTGGTGTAATTTTGAATGCTTGGAGCCTTGATGTATGCCCAAATTTGAAAAAATTGAGAGCTCCAAGCAATGCTTTTTCAAAATGGCCGGTTGGATGGTGATTTTTGTGCTTATTTGGCATCATTTTTGAATTGTTGCATATAGTCGAGTGCATCCTATTAAGATGACTGAGAGTGCAATAGGATTGTGCGAAGGCTTAGTTCTCATGTGTGCTTAAATGAATGGAATGGCTTGACTTGGTTACTCTTCGATTACAATTTCCATGCATCGAGTTTGTGAATATGGAATAGACGATTGGGCGGCTAGGTAGCCTTTGAGTTTTGAGCCGATCATTTTCTTCTAGTGTGATAGTGCCCTCTCACCATGGTGTGTAGCATCACAGTTTTCATTAGCGAGTAGGATGGAGGTATAGGATTAGTCCACGCCCAAATGTTGATTGTCCTAAAATGAGTTATCCTTTAGTCAACTCCTTTGAGCCTTGTGACTTCAAGGTAGGGATGGCAACAAAACCCAAACCCACGGGTACCCACCCGACCCAACCCGGTCAACATGGGTAAAATCCGTGTTGATGGGTTTTGGGCCAGGTTGGGTTGGGTTGGGTTTGAGTTTAGGTAAACCCGGCCCATGGGTACCCGCCCACACCCATATTATTTTTCTCGATATATTTAATATTCTAAACAACTAATCTTATTTATGTTTGTGGAGACATGTCTAATTTTTTCTTTCTAATTGTGTAAAACAAAGTTGATGTTATCGAGTGGAGAGTGAAGAAACTTAATTGAAAGGAAGAAGTTTTCAATTAATCATGTTATTTATGGATACTTTGTGATTTGCTTCAATTTTCTTGA